GATGGCCATTCTTGTGTTTTCCATATTTGCTAGCATATGGCATGCATCACCTTGACAGCATCATCTTTTAAGATTTTAAACAGTTCAGCTGGGATCCCGTCGTCTCCTGCTGCCTTGTTTTTAGCAATGCTTCTTAAGGCCCATTCAACCTCACTCCTCAGGATGTCTGGTTCTAATTCATTCACCACACCGTCAAAACTATCCTCAATCTTATTATTCCAACATTACTCTAAAACTATTAGGAAGGAAATGAATCTAGCTCAAAGATATCATCATGCATACTAATTATACAACATGTAATTATATTCAATGAATATGTGAACAGAAGCTTTTGGAGATGGGAGATAACCTGATCAGTCCTATTGTGCAGGAGGCACAGTGGAAGTACAATCTCTCCCCCTCTCTGCCCTGCCGCTCTCTACATGCTGCAAATGAGGTAGCAACAAACAGAGGATATCTGAATATGGAGTAGACCTGAACCAGGAGAAAGAGTCCAGCTTGAGATACAAGAGATCCCAGTTTTGGAGGAACTGAAAATTAATTTGAAAACAGTTCAGAGTAATGGTATAGTGTCTATCAATCACCTGGCAAAGTCTTCATGTCTGAATGTGCAATGAGGTGATATCCAACAATAATGTACAAACTGAGCACCCTTTATCTCAAAGTCCAAAATACTCGATAATCTAAAGCTGTCCACACAAGTGGCTGAGACAGTGACACCTTTGATTTCTAATACTTCAGTGCACTCCAACTATGTTTCCTGCACAAAATTATTTAAAATGTTTGTGTAAAATTACCTTCAGAAAACGTGTATAAGAAACATGAATGAATTTCATGTTTAAACCTAGTTCCCATCTCCATGATATCTCATGGCATACATAGAGAAGTCTGAAAAAAATCCAAAAATCAGCATTTTGGATTAAGGATACACAGCCTGTAGTTCTACTGAAATACTCACTATGACTGAAACCATTAAGACTGAGCCCTTCAAAGAAATAATTTGATCAATTTGATTTACATAAAATCATTCCCTGCCTCAGCAACAGACTGAAAAGGATTCAAAGCCATATGGATACAGCCCAATTTCAGCTGCAGGAGAACAGCACCACTACCAACTCTCATTTGCAGAGCAATCCTAAAGACAGAATCATATTTATTCAGAAACAGATCTCGTAGCATTTAATGGAATCAGTCTTTAATCTTGCAGCATTTACCTGGAACCCAGCTTCCAAGTCTGGGTTTAGATGACCCTTTCCCCTTCTGTTTCTGTCACTGACCTGCTCTCCAGGCACTTCTCCAGAGTTCTTGAAGGCATCCATTGGGAGGGGAGCAGCAGCTGCAGGTGGCTTCGCTCTTATTTCCGTTTTCGGACCCTTTAGCAGGTGTCTCGCTCTAAAATTCCTCTCTGTGGAAACTCCTAGAGATTGAACAGATAAGATCAGGAAAACTTCCAGTTGTTTTGAAAGTACCTCCCCCACAGACACACTCCACTGAGAAAGAGGATCTGAAAGTAGTACCAGGAAAGCTTCGGCAACTCCTCCAGAAATCCCCAAAACAAACACATAAGAATTGTAAGTGAGAATGCAAAATTACCGCCCTTCATCTTCAACACCCTGACCCTTGGACTTGCTTTTCCTGCCAGAAGACGGGGATCTAATGGCTGATTTCAGGAGTCCAGCAAAGGCAACATCATAAATACTAGTTTTATCAGTTCCCATTTATTTCCACTCCTGTCATCTCTTGCTTTTCAATAACATTTTTAATCAAGTCCTCCAGAGTTGTTCAATCAAGTTCATCATGTCAAGTGCAACGATCACTTTGTCCACCTTACTCTCCCTTACTCTTCCTATTTCTTTAGCATGACAAAGCTGACTTCTCCAAAGAGGGTGGATATATAAAGCTGTCTACACCAGGCTTGCACAACCTGCGGCTCTCCAGCTGATTTGGCCTCCAACTCCCAGAATTCCTGGCCACTGGATGAGCTAGCTAGAGTTTCTGGGAGCTGGAAGACAAAACAACTGGAGGCCATAAGTTGTGCAGCCTGGTCTAGAACAAGAATCATATACGCACACAACATAGGAACTGAGATAATTATAGTTAAGACACTAAGAGAGGAGTGTGAACAGTCTGGGCTGCCCTTCTGTCTATAGGGAACTAGGGAAAGGTTTTCTCCCCTTTTCTTTTATGTATCTATGCAGCATCCCCCTTTCCATATAGGTCAGCAATTTGCTGTATTTCATTCTATGTAGACATACGCTCCAACACCTCACAGATGAAAACTGTAACATCTATGCCCAAGCAAGATCAGAATAGGGTCAAGATGGTTATTAGGAACACACAAGCCAGGAGGGGCTGCAACAGTTTGCTTTTGCTTAAATTTACTGGGAAGGGTAAACTTCTGCTCCCTCCTCTCCCTCATCCAGAATTAACTGAGTGTAAGGCTGAGAGAGTGAGGCCTGCCCAAGGCCTCCCACTACGTTTCCATGGACAAGTAGAAACCTCAACCCTGTTCACCATAGTTGCGGTTCAATGCTCAAACCAATACACCATGCTCAAAACTGTACAAAAATTACAAAAATGTATAATGAAAATGGAATTAATCTTTCAATAACACTAAAAGCAAATTAAAACATATTTAAAATTCAAATGCAGTGAAAAACAGTATAGTAAACAAAGGTATGGTGCCTCATTAACAGTCCGTTATTTAAAAACAGTTCCCAAAAGCCTGCTTCAAAAAGATTTTGCCAATATGGAGAAACCACTAGCTGATCAGCCAGGACAGTCCTCCCCAATCATCTGCCTGGAGATCAAACGTGGTGAAAATAAATCCTAGAAATGCATTTTACAGCACCAGCTCCTACTTCTAAAGACCAACAGGAAACAAGCAGGAGGTGGCAGAGTGAGTCGGGCTGACCCACAGGTTGCCTCAGATATGTCTTATGGTTATGGATATGGTGTTTCTTTTGCAATGGTAGGGAACTACAAAACAAGAACAGGTCAGTGAAATAGCTCTCACAGGCTGCGATCTGAACTTTGACTGGACATTGGGCAAGGAAAGGTCATCCAGCAAATGAGTCAGAGACTAAAAAAAAGCCACTCTGAAAGTTAAAATTGTGTATACACTCAATTTATAAGCTAGAAATTTAGGATTGATACATGCGAAGTAGAAGCATTTTCTACACATCAGTGTAAAAAACCTGAACTCTTGTGCCACTTTGTAAAAATGAGATGGCATTGAATCCAGAACGTACCATTATTCTTCTAGCTTTGTTAAGCAAGAACTGAAACATATATTTTCCATAACATACAGGACACAAGTCAATTCACACCAAAGTACTGTTTGAAGTATCAAAGCAATTCTATTTATATTTTATTGCCTTTCAGGTGTCATACCTGGGACATAGACAGGTGGCCCGACTTCCTCAGAAACTGGATGCAATGTCATTCAAGGAAAGTGAAAGCAAAAAGTCTGCCTTGTTCTTGAACATTTGATGTTTTTTAAGATGACAAGGGGAGAAGTGTTCCATCCAAATTAGGGAGAAGCTACTAACACAGGCATTCCTGTATATCACCTTCTGTTATTAACTCTTTAAAACAACCTCAATTGAAAGGTTAGCTTCTATAAAATATCCTAAAACTGGCTAAATGGTTGAGATAATGAACCACCACATGTATTTTTAATAATCTCAAAAGCAACCTGAGATTCTTATAAATGAGTACTATGATTGGGGTGATGGGGAAATCTGGGACAACAACATTATAATATCACAGGACCCCCTCAGCTATAGCACCAAACTATCATGAGATATACTTATTTGTCCTTTGATATGGGTATTCAGCTCTGACTTAAAACAACCCTCTCAAAGGTTTTCGTGACAATATTTATGATTCAAAGGGTTTACCATTGCCTTCTTCTAAAGAAAACAGCCAAGGTCACTCAACCTCTTTGTTTGAGCAGGGATTCAAACCCTCATCTATTGAAATCGGACCATTTCCGCTACCTTGACAGCCACCTCTCCACAAAAGTCAACATTGACACCGAAATCCAACACCGCCTGAGCGCTGCAAGTGCAGCATTTTTCAGAATGAAGCAGAGAGTGTTTGAGGACAAGAACATCCGTAGGGAGACCAAGGTGCTTGTTTATAAAGCTATTGTCCTCCCAACCCTGCTACGCCTGCGAGATGTGGACTGTCTACAGGCGTCACATGCAACTCCTGGAACGATTCCATCAGCGCTGCCTCTGGAAAATCCTGCAAATCTCTTGGGAAGACAAGCGGACAAATGTCAGCATGCTGGAAGAAGCAAAGACCACCAGCATTGAAGTGATGGTCCTCCGCCATCAACTCCGCTGGACCGGCCACATTGTCTGGATGCCCGACCACCGTCTCCCAAAGCAGTTGCTCTATTCCGAACTCAAGAACAGAAAACGGAATGTTGGTGGGCAGGAAAAGAGATTTAAAGATGGGCTAAAAAAAAAAAAAAAAAAAAAAAAACAAAAAAAAAAAAAAAAAAAAAAAAAAAAAAAAAAAAAAAAAAAAAAAAAAAAAAAAAACAAAAGAGAAAACAAAAATAAAAATAAAAAAAGGTGTTGACCTCCTGATATCAAAAAAAGAAAGAAAAAAAAAAAAAAAAAAGGAAAGAAAAAAAAAATAAAAAAAAAAAAAAAAAAAAAAAAAAAAAAAAAAAAAAAAAAAAAAAGAAAAAAGAAAAAAAAAAAAAAAAAAAAAAAATAAAAAAATAAAAATAAATAAAAAAGAAAAGAGAAGAGAAGAAAGATCACTGTCTCCCAAAGCAGTTGCTCTACTCCGAACTCAAGAATGGAAAACAGAATGTTGGAGGACAGGAAAAGAGATTAAAGATGGGCTCAAAGCCAACCTTAAAAACTCTGGCATAGACACTGAGAACTGGGAAGCCCTGGCCCTTGAGCACTCCAGCTGGAGGTCAGCTGTGACCAGCAGTGCTGCAGAATTTGAAGAGGCACGAATGGAGGGCGAAAGAGAGAAACGTGCCAAGAGGAAGGTGCATCAAGTCAACCCCGAACGGGACAGACTTCCATCTGGAAACCGATGCCCTCACTACGGGAGAAGATGCAAATCAAGAATAGGGCTCCACAACCACCTATGGATCCACCCCCGGGATACCACTCTTGGAGGACCATCATCCTCAGACTACACGGGATCACCTAAGTAAGAAAGTACTTCCTATGAAATGCTGGGGCCAGGCAATGTTTCTTCCAACCCAGAGAAAAACAAATAAACAGGAACATTCTTGGGGTTTATCTCCCATCATGTCATGCAGGGACAGATAAGTTAGCCTCCTCCAAACTTTTTAGGTTCTATCTTCCATCAGCCCAAACAGTGTGGCTAATGGACTCGTATCATACAAGTTGCTGCCCAAAACACCTACAGGAAAGCAAACTGGGCAGACTACTAGTAGATACTTGTCTACAGATGGCACTTCCACAAAAAGCAAGAACAAAGTATCACTTCACAAACAAAATATTTTCATTCAACAGAATGACGACCACATTTTGTGCCCTGTGTTGGGTAAAAGGCGGGATACAAATTAAATTTAAAAATAGATACATCAAGAAGAAACACTGGCAACTTTTTTAAAGAAGGCAACTAGGCAAACTGACAAACTAAAGCACCTTTTGAGAATGGCAGACACAGTCATAGGATTATAGAATTGGAAGAGACATCATGGGTCATCCAGTCCAATCCCTGGCCAAGAAGCAGGAAAATCACATTCAAAGTACCCCCGACAGATGGCCATCCAACCTCTGTTTTAAAGAAGGCGTCTCCACCACACTCCGGGGCAGAGAGTTCCACTGCTAAACAGCTCTCACAGTTAGGAAGTTCTTCCTAATATTCAGGTGGAATCTCCTTTCCATACCAGAGTCACACCAGAGGATTTGGGAAATTCCTAAAGGTATCCACTGAGGAATTTGCAAGATCCTCCAGGGCAACTTCATGGTAACGTCCAACAGAAATGTACTACAGAATAATTTGGAGGACCTAGAAAATTCCTAAAGAAGGATATGTTGTGACAGATGTAGGTAAGTGAAACTGTGGAAACAGGTCCCTCAATAGGACTCTGTAGTCTGGTAACCTAAGAGTAAGGGGCAAGAGTCACCTTCTTCGGAGGTTTTTAAACAGAGGCTGGATGACCACCTCTTAGGAGGGCTTTGATTATGTATTCTTGCATGGCAGAAGGAGGTCAGACTGGATAGCTCTTGTGGTCCCTTTCGGCTCTATGTGAAAGGACTAGGGGAGCTCAAAGAAACAAAAACAGTGGTTTTAATATCAGCTTCCACAGATCTGAAGAGCTCCCATGCAAGGGATGGAGCAGACCTGCCACTGTTGCTTCAGAGGGCAGGATTAGAACTAACAGATAGAAACTTTGGGGAACCAGCTTTCAGGTAAAGGTACGGAGAAATCTGCTACTGGTCAGAACTTTTTGACAGCAGAATGCAATGCACACTTTTTTGCAGAGTATCCAAGCAGAGGCTGAAAGGCCATCTACTATGGATATCGCAATTGCATTCACAGAATCAGAGTTGGAAGGGGTTCCATGGCCCATCAAGCCTGACCTCCAAACTCAATGCAAGAAATCCAACAGGTGCATTGATTTATTTAAAACGTTTATATCCCGATCTTCTCACCTCCGTAGAGGGACTCAGACCGGCATTGAACTACACTTTCCAGCTCTTACATATGCATGGAAAATACTTTCCAGCTCTTACATATGCACGGAATGACTAAGCGATCCGGTGAACTGAGAACAGAAAGAAAGTCAGAGATTTATCTTTCTCCCACAACTCAAAGGCCAGTGGACTTTTTGCTCCTCCTGTTTGATTCAGTACAAGAACCTGCCTTAAGACAATAAGAGCACACAAAGGACCAGGAGCTGCTACTGTACTTTCTTGTAGTTCCTAGGGACGCTAAAACCATCAACAAAACTCTAGTTTATCAAGGAGAAAAACAAGCCAGCGTGCCAGTTGCTATGGCATTCATTTGTCTTGGGGAAATCAGCAGTTTGTTTAGCTAATCCTACTGCAAGCAGAAGCACCAAAGCTATTCCTCTGTAAGTCAGGATTCATATGGACCTTGGCTCACCATGGGTCCTGAATGTGACCAAGGTGTTATCTACCAATCCAACAAGAGCATTCATTTCAATTTTTCATCTCACAAAGTGACTCCATCCAGGCTAAATCATCAACTTTTGAAAGTCTGGAGCTTCCATTTCGTTTATAGGACTTAAGTAATGACACTTCATGAGGAAGCAAACAGACAGGGTGGATAGCACTGCAAGATAACATTTGTCTAAAATGCAATATAAACATTGTTGTGTTTGTCCATGTGATATAATTCCTTTCATTCTAACAAACACAAAAGAGAAGCATCTCAACCACACAAGACCACCAAAGACAGATGAATGACTAACAAAAAGCAGATTTTATGTAAATTTAGTTACAAAATATGATGAAAGTAAATCTTTTATTTTGCAAGTACATGTACATAATATCTATTATGGTTGTTACTTGTTTATATAACTGTGATGGTCTAATTCCATCGGTGCTCCTCTCACTCCATCAGTTTGACAGAGGCAATGGGTATTAAGAACTATGTTCATCACCAACTATTTTAATTTAGTGAGGAGATTTGTGGCATTATTTAAGAAATATGTGAAGACTACCAGGGTTTTCTCCCGACTTAAATTAATGATTCAAATGGCCTCGGTTCCAACCAATCCACCTCGTAAGAGATGCAATTCTTGTTTTTAACAAGTGTAATGATGACCATTATCAGACTTCAGCAACAGGGTAAAGCCCAAGGGAAGCCGAATCTCCAATTTAGCCTTTTCTCTGCTGGGCTTTTCATCAGGCTGCCTGCTGCTCCAGTAATTACAGATCAAAACAAAGGAAAGCAAGTTGCTTAAATTTAAAGAGACTTGTAACAGCTGCCCGGAAACTTTATGAGATACGTGCTCTGCCCTGCTGGCAGCCTATATGCAGAATGAAGACACCGTTTCATTACCTCCTTTTCTCATAATTAGTGGAGTTTTCCTATCTAGCATTTAAAAACATTTAAAAACACAGGCAGGCTGCCAACAGAAAATGTCACCAATGCCAGATTCCAAAGTACCAATACAAACAAGCTGCAAGAGACAAAAGATTATTCTAGCATTGATCCAACCTGATTTTTCCTTTTAACACTTAATCACCCACAACTCCAGTCTGACCATGACTCTGCCAGCCAACAATCTGTCCCAACAAACATCTATCATTTGGGCAAATGTAATCTTCTCTAAGAAAACTTGAGGGAAACCTGCTATCAATACTAAACCAATAATCCTCTGCCAATACAGAAAAACTCCCAGTATCCAAAAGGAATGTGTGCCCAGACTGTGTGTGGATAAGCAAAAC